ACTTGATACGAAATAAATCATTCAAACGCTCATAACTTCTTTCGAAGTTGTTCCGCGATAAAAGGAAAGCAGATTTGGAATCGGCGTGTAAAGGCGCGTCTAGTGATTTACGTCTCGTTCTCAATCGCCAACTCAAGTTGGTACCCTTTTTTATTAGCGCAACAGCGAATTTTTCAGGATAATCTTCAAAATAACTTAAGTCACAAACAAAGTGCACATACTCACGCAGCGTTTGTTTCCACTTATAGACCTGCCCATTGTCTGACCTCTGGTTCATCCCCTTGGGCTATGAATTCAATTATCGGGACATCTCCAGAAGGATGTTTTCTGAGGCAAATAGTGCCGATCTCAGTGTTGTACTCGCACCCGCATCCGTTGACGTAAAAAAGCTCGAGAAGTTTTCTGCCTTGAACTACGAAAAACCTGTCTAGCAAAGCTGGATCAGTTTCTTCTAATCGAAGCAGATCTTTGCCGTCAGATCCAGACTGCGCTTCTGATGAAGAGCAAAAACCATTCTGAAAGAAAACGCTTTCTGAGATCATTGTAACTTCATCAAACTTGCGAACCACCGCTTCGTCTGAAGATCCCGAGTCTTCGTGTTTGTTTGATGTGCCCAGAAGTTCCTGAGCAAGGAATTCCGTGTTTCGAGGTTCCACAACTGGCCCATCATCAGGAGGCTGACACTCCATAGATTCACTGCGTCGTTCGGAACATGATGGTGCCTCTTCCAGTTTATCCTTAATACTTCTTGAGATGGGTCAATTTCGGAAAAGTAGCTCACCTTGACGTCTTCAGATTTCTTCTCATCTGTGGAAGCCTGCGGAAAGCTCCAACAACCGTGAACATAGTACTTTTTTATGTAAACATTAAGGTACTTTGTAACATCTGTGGCGCTCACAGTGACTCCGTCCTAGTAATTGATTCATGATCTGATTCATCACCGATGATTTGTTAGCACTAACCGTAAACGTCAAGGCATCATTCAACTCAGCTAAGAATTGTGCAGGAATTGCACCGTTATCGATGTATATCACATCGTCTGCAGTAACAGAGAGCTTTCCCCCACCGGCAAATACTTCCGCCAAGATATACTGCGCCTGTAGAGATATATGTAATAGCTTCAACGGCTAATACTGTGTTTTTGCATTCTGACAACATCTGCGCGTTAACAATGCCAATTTGGGCCCTATGACCATCTTTTGAGTGCAGATATCGTCCCC